ATTTGGGCTAGGCTGTGCATTCCTGATGTTTGCCAGCTTGGGGAGGATCAGGAGGTGGTGCCAGAGCTGTGACATCCTTTAAATAATGAGATGATGAAAGAAGAGCAAGTGCTCTGTAAGTGCTTGGATACCAGGAAAGGGTTAAGAGGGATATCATCACTAAAGCCCCACCTATATAAATGGGAATTCAGTGACTTTGGGGATGCCCTGAATTCCTTGAATCCTGTAACATGCTGTCCAATCCTCAACAGGGTGTGAGGAAACAGCCTCAAGCTGCAGCAGGGGAGGCCTAGATTAGAAAAATTTCTTCATGGAAAGGGTCATCAGGAGTTGGAACAGGCTGGCTAGGGCTCAGTGGTGGAGGCACCATCCCTGGAAGTGTCCAAAAAACCTGTGGATGTGGCACTTGGGGGACGTGGTTTAGTGGTGAACAGGCTGGTGGTGCTGGGTGATGGTTGGACCTGATGATCTTGGAGGTCTTTTCCAACCTTAACAATTCCGTGATCAGAAGGAGGTTCAAGAAGTGGTTCCCTCTGCAGGAGGCAAAGTGCCAGGCCTGGGATTGTTCCTCCGGTGAAATCCCTGTCAGCCAGTAAATCCCAAAGTGTTTTTGTGGTGCTGGAGGTACAGAACATGCTCTTTGTGGCTACCCTCTGTCACCTGGGGCTCTGCAGCAGCTTCTTTTCCTGCTTCCCCCTCCCATGGAAGGCTCTTTCCCTCACCAGTGCCTCTGCCTGCTCTCCAACACCAAGTCCCAAAGCTGCATTAATGAATTGCCATCTCTCAAACCCATGATTACAACTATAAATCCTGGTGGACTTCCCCCATTTGTTTTTTTTGCCTTTTTTTTTTTTTTTTTTTTTTTTTTTTTTTTTTTTTTTTTTTTTTTTTTACACATTGTTTCTTCCCTCCTCATTCTTTTTGCTCGCCTGCAAGTGGCACTTGGGGTTTGTGTGGTTATTTTTCTTGTGTTTATACTCTCCACAGACTTAATTAAGTTCTTGCCTGCTTCTTGGCCTTGCCAAGTTTATTGGCCCCACCAGGGCTTCCCAGTGCTCTCTTCCTAAAAACCACAGCTGCTGCCAATCACCTGAGACCGTGAAAATGGGCAAAAAAAACCCCCACTTGCTTTTGAAACCCAACTTGACATTATGGGAACAAAAGACAGAACAGGAGAATAATCTTCCCAACTTCGCTCCGTGTTTTTAGGCTGGTTTTCAGGATCACATTCCCTGACCTTACACTTCAGGAGGGGCAGGGCTTTCACCTGGACCAGAGGGATGATTTTTTCTGGGATACAGAGGTTTTTTATCCCAGCATGATGGACAAGTCATCACCTTCATTCTCTTTTTTTTTTTTTTTTTTCCCCCCTGGAAACTCCAGGTCTCAGAGAATGTAATTCTGATTTTATGTACACAGAGCAGTTAATAAAGAAGATAAAAGAGAGATTGTGTTTCAAGCAGTGCAAACTAAAGCCCTGAGCTGTTTTTATCATGTCTCCCCTTCTCTCTCTCTCTCTCCCCTGAATTCACTCCCTCTGGATAACAGAAAGGAGAGGGAAGCTCCATTTAAATGCAGATTTCCCATGTTGGCCAAGAGCAATAACTAGCCCTGTGCTGCACCGAGCACACAAACATTATCAGGTCTCTTTGTGGAGGAGGTTTGATGTTTTTAGATTCTTCCTTTTCCTTGATGAGATCCTCTTCCCTCTCAGAGTAATAGCGCGTTGACGACTTTTTATTTTATTTTTAAGCAGCACTTCAGAGGTTATAATGGAAACACAACCCCACCTGTTTCTCCACTGGAGCTCCACTTGACAGCCCTGTAATGAGGAACTGTGCAAATTCCTTCTCCTTTGCTGGATTGACAGCCTGAAGGGTTGATACCGTATTCAGCAGGGGAAGGGAAAGTGCAAAATAAGGCAATTTTGCAGCAATTTTTTAATCACCTGACCCTTCAGCCCCGTGGGTTTGGAGGCAGTTTGGGGTTCATGGAGTGAGGAGGGGTCTCCAGTGGCACAGGAAACACAGGTGGCTGAGGAAGAGGGAAAGGAGGAAGGGGAGATGTGGGGATCTGGCGTGATCCCCCCACACATCCCAGGGCGTCTCCTGGTGTTCCTGAGCAGGACTTTGGTGTCTGAGGAACGATCTGTTTTTCTGGAGTGCCTTTGGGTTCCCCATGGAAAGGGTTTTCAAGCATTGGCAGGGGCTGCCCAGGGAGGTATTGGAGTCCCCCAGCCCTGGAGGTGTCCAAGGAAGGACTGGATGTGGCACTCAGTGCTCTGGGCTGGGGGACGAGGTGGGGATGGGGCACAGGGGGGGACTCGGTGAACCTGGAGGGCTTTCCCAACCTGAACGATTCTGTGAGTGTGTTCAGAGTATAAATCAGAAGAGGCTGTAGGTGTGATCTTAACCTGTCAGATGAGACACCTGAGAAATACTGCAGACAGCTTTGTATCTTTTTAACTTAGAGGGACAGGTTACAAACCATGAAATACGTTTCCTAAGCCAGAACTTTGCTAAATCTGCATCTTCAAGATGGAAATCGTGCTGCTGAGCATGACTCTTTACATCTCAAAGGTATGAAAAGCATGTGAGACAAACGTAAATAAAAAATGATCCTGTTAACAGGGAAAGGTCAGCTGAACACAGTTTGCCTGAATCTCCTGGTAGCATCTGTTCCCTGTTATTGTTATAAAAATGCTACTTCATTAGGTCTCGCTCGAGCCGTGAATTAAGGGGGGGATGTTGTAGCAAGACTTGCAGTGGGATTAGGCTTGTCAGAGTGCATCTGTTGAGCCTGGCTGGTGGCTCTGAGGAACGGGGGGGATGGAGCTTTTCTGCTCTCTTAGCCCTGCTTGAAAGCCAGCTGAGGGTGGAAAGAACTGAATTTCAGCGCTGTCACTTGTTGCTGGAATATTGATTAACTGCAGCCCAGCAGCTCTCAATGCATTTCCAAGGGGGTGGACTCTTCTGGTTTGGTGCCTCTCAGGTTTATGGGTTTTGTGTTAAGTGTAAGGAAAAAAAGGCATATTGACCAGAAAGATAATTATTGCTATTTTAATCTATCGAGATTTGGACATCCCACAGGAAAAGATGCTTCAGCCAATTATTCCAGAGGAAAACTCAGCCTGTGCCAGTCCTTGGGTGGCTTCACTTGAATTGTTTGACCCTCAGTCCCTGGGAAATCCTGAACAACCCTGAGTTGGGCATCACAGATCCAGGTGCTCCTGGCTCCCTCTGAAACGTTTTCCTCGTAATTCATAGGGAAGTTGTCCAGACCAGAGACATTTATCATGCTTGGGAAGACAGGAGTGATTTTTGAGGGCAACCAAGTTCAAAGGCTTTGCTGTAAGTCTTCAGGATTAAAGATTTACTTGATGCATCTTCCCATATTTAATAGACAGGAGGAGATGAAAGGGAATTTCTAGAAAGATTTCCGTTCATACTTAATGATGCCACTATGAGATGAGCTTTGGCACCGTGTCCCAGGACATGAAGTTTTAAAACCAACCTTTTTTTAAACATTAAATGACTTTTTTCATGCTCTAGCTTTAATAAATAAAGATTAGTTCGGCCTCATTACCTGCTCAATCTGAGGGCTGGTTTAATATTTGGTAAAAGTAACCCAAGTGTCCCAAAATGCAAGTTTTGCTGGTTTTCTATCACAAGTCCTGGAGTTCAAACTCAATCAGAGCTGAGTAAGGAAGAGTGTTGTTATTTTTTTTTCCCAAGTTTTTTTTTCTCCCCTCACCTGTAGAGAACTTTTCAAAATTTCCAAAAAATAAGAATGGAGAATCCTATCCTGAATTGACACCACAAAAAAACCCAACCCTTGTGCGAACTCTTTTGTCAAGGTGGCCTGAGGAAATGATTCAGAATGCTTTGGTGTTGACTGTTTTATATTTAAAATGCCTTTAACTGCACATTAGTGGAAGTGGATTTTGTTTGAAAACTGGCAATTAGGAATAAACTTGACAACATTTCCCAATTTAGTGATTTTGCAGCTTTTAAATTAGAAACTTAATGAATCTCAGAATGCTGACACGCACTCCCCCACCACTGATCTTTAATTTTGCTGTGTCAGCCCCCTGAACACGAGCAGCATTTTGGGGACGTTCATCACACTCCAGCTCTGCTCCCCATCCTGCTTCAGCCCCTGAGCAGTCCTGGATGGCATCGCTCCCTTTGGGTTGTGATTTTTGGGAAGGGAAGATAAGCCTTGGTGCCTTTTTTTTTTTTTTTTTTTCAATGTACACAACAAACAATAGCTCTGCTCTTCCCCAGATCTGATGGAATTGCTGTGCTCTGGGAGGAGACCTCCTGTTAGCAGGGACAAACCCAGACGTTGCGCCAGCTCATAACAAAATGCTCAACTCTGATTCCTTTCTTGCCTCCCCTCAAGAAAACAAAAATAATACCCCTCACCATCTCCCTGTGCCTAACACAGATTTGAGTGGGCAGCCCCAGGAGCTGAGTTCAAGAGTCGAGCGCTTTCTGTTTGAAAAATATTTGTCCCTCCCCACCCACGGCTGCCCACGTGCTTCCTGAAATACTCCAGCTATCAGCACCGGATCAACGCTTCACAGCAACGATCCCAGGCTACGTGGGGACGTTCCTCCTTTGTTGGGACGTGAGGCAGAGCCTGCATCTGGGTTCCTGAGGGCTGCACAGCTGGATGTGCCTCTCCAGGAGCCCCAGGGGTGGGTGATGGATGCCACCGGCGCGCCGACAGCGTGGGTGGCTGTGCTGTGGCATTCCGACAGGTAGCACAGCCACTGCTGCAGGGATGTCACCACCCACCTGTCTGGCAAAACCCTGGGAGGTGGGTGAAACAGCAGGAAGGGCCGTGTGGGAAGGAGGATGCGCCGAGCGTGGCGGTGACGGGAGCACAAAGCGCTCGCGTGGAGATCCCGAAGGGACTGGGGGGGGCGAGGGGGGTGGGGACGTGCACGGAGTCCCTGCCACGCCTGACCACTGCCAACCCCTTTGCTCCCACAGCTGCCATCCTGGATGACCCCATGGAGTGCAGCAGAGGGGAGAGGCTCTCCATCACCCTGGCCAAGAACCGCATCAACCGCGCGCCCGAGCGGGCGGGGAAAGCCAAGGTGGAGGTGGACATCTTCGAGCTGCTGCGGGACAGCGAGTACGAGACTGCAGAAACCAGTGAGTGCCTCTCCCTGCAGATGGGCCTGCCCCACTTTCTCCTCTCTGCCAGCTCGCTGGAGGTGCCTGGCACACTGGGTGCAGAGGGAAATTGTGGGATGGTCAACTGGGATAAACACCCGCCTCTCTGCTCCTCTCATCCTCACACAGACCAGTTTTCATTTGAGGGTGTAGCTTGGTGTTGTGAGGCGAGCCCAAAGCTTGGACTGAGAGGATCTGGGTCCCCAACAGGCTTTGCCACCACTCAGCTCAGCGGTTTGGGACAAATTACTTCCTTTAATCTGTGTGTCAATAAAGAGAGGCAGCGATACGGGAGGTGCTGATCCTTTGGAAAGCACTTAATGGTGAGCAAATAAGAGACTCTGGGCAAGTTGGGTGCAATTAAGTTATTTTTAATTCCCCCTGGAACTCTGTGTGTCAGCAAACATGACAGCTCTTCCAGAGCTTGAGATTGGCAGCAGATTTATTTACACAAAGTGAAGTTTTTCAAGCGATGTTTGAAGGCATGGGGATGAAAAAGAGCTAATTTTGAAAGAGCAGGAGATTTCCCACGTCACTTCCAAGTGCCTTATTGAAACAGCTCTCTATTAGAGTTGTTCCTCTGGACCCCCAGTGTGTCAGCTCCGTGCTGATGAATAACAGGGAAATTGATGGTCAGCATCCCACAGACCTTTTGGGAGCCCGAGTGAAAGGAGCCCAAAAGATCTATAATAGTTTCTTCCTGTAAGAGGAAAAATCCTTTGGAACAGGATGGCTTCCCTTCAGAATCATTTCTGAGCTGACCTTTAGAGTTCAAGGGAGGACTATAACTTTTTATTACCGGTTGGCTTGAGAAAGCTGGAGAAATCATTTTTAATAATGGGGGTTTTAGGCTCGTTTCCCAACGGTTCCATGGCTGTGCAATCTGCAGGGTGTCCCCAAAAATTGTGGTGGTGTGTGGTGCTCTGGGGAAGGCTGGTTTCTCACTCAGCAGTGACTCTGGGTAGGTGTATGAACAGGCTCCATGGGCCTGCGAGATCAGCACATCCTTCATTTCCTGAATTAGTGTTTGCATTATTTATAGAAGAGTTCAGTTAATAAAGTGCGTCTCAGCAAGTACCTGAGTGTCTATTTATAGAGCCTGTCACCCGTGAGGCAGCGCAGATTAAAATCATCACAGGCAGCAGCACCAGGGGCTGTTTAAAACAGCAATTCTCCGCTGTTTTGGATCCCTCATCCCTCTTCTATTTCCCTGGTCTTTCCCATCTGCCCAGGATTGTGCATGTCCTGCTTTGCCCTCATTTGGCATCCTTTGAAGGACCCAGTGGCCTTTTGAGTTCCATTCCTGTTCCTCCCCCATAAATCTCCTGCATGGAGCAGCGTGTTCCTGTTGTTGAACTGGGGGCAAATGATGTGTTTGGGGAGAATGTGGGAACAGGGTGAGTGAGGGAGAGGCCACCTCCCATTTCCAGTTTGCATCTCGGGGTGATTTTCTTTTTTTTTATTTATTTACTTGGGCTTCTAGAATGTAAAAATTAGGAATTGGAGCAAGCTTGACTTGATTTTGGTGAATTTTGCAGTATGTTATTTGCCTTTTCTTCAGAGGGAAAAATGTCTGGAAGCATTTCTTTGAAAAGGAAAAAAAAAATCTGGATTCTGCATGGCTCTGCTATTAATGTCACTGAAGTTATTCGTGATTTATACTGGTAGTAGAGGAGAATCAGATCCTCTGACTTAAATTTCAAGGGCTTTCGTGCCTTTCAAATGCTTTAATACAACGCTGATGTTTGTTATGACACATAATATTAATAAAAACTGTTTGGATGCTTTAACCTATGACTGCAAAGCTGTTATACAGCTGTTTAATACTGTTCTCACATTTCACACCCTCTGAATCACTGTTAAATATCACAGCTCTGATTTAGGAATTACACCCCATCAGTGTTATTCCATGTACAATTAGTGCTTCGAGAGAAGGAAGAATTTTGGGCAGTTAATTTTCATTTTAGTGTTGAGCTGCTTTTCTTTCTTTTTTCCTTCTGGCTGGCTCATGTTAGAGGGCCCCAAAAATCACAATTGCCTCAGCAGGTGAAATATGAGTCAGTTAATCACATTCATGCCTGGTCTCTATTTCAGCTGTAGATATGAATGGAGGCAAACACTGACTGCTCCTGTGTGAAACATCTGTGTTTGCAAGGAGTTTGCAGTGAAAGGTTATGGGCAGAGCTTTTTTTTCTTTTTTTTTTTTTTTTTCTGTTACAAGGAAAACCTGCTCTCTCTTTGTGTTTGATGTTTCAGCTCCTTTCATGGGGATCCAAAACGACTTGTTTAATCGTGTCTTTATCTAAACCACCTCATTCCTTTTGATGTCCAGTGAGGGACTGATCTTCTACTTGTCCCCCTGTCCCCTATGGCCTCCTCAGCCTTTTAAGCATCTCTTTGTTGTGAATCCAAACATCTTGGGGCAGGTCAGCAGCTGGAGGGGTTTAAATTTTTATTTATTCACACCAGGATTTCAAAGTGCCTGCTATGTCCTTTCAGTGGCATTGGCTCAAACGTGCCCCACCATTTTTTGGTGGGATTTCATGTTTTTAGCCTGCTTTGGTTACCATGGAATCACAGAATGGTTTGGGATGGAAGGGGACCTTAAAGATCTTCCTGCCCTGGGTAGGGACACCTCCCACTAGATCTCATCATTCCAACCTGGCCTTGAACACTTCCAGGAGCAGCCACAGCTTCTCTCTGGGCTTCTCTGGTTGTGGGTTCCTTTTAGGAAGCACCAAGGATGCTGCAGGGAGCAGTCTGGGAGTGCAGGATGAACCCTCTGGAACACCGGCTGTTTATTTATGCACTTGGTGTTCCCTGTCTGAGAATCCCGTCCTGACCAGTCCCTGCCACTCCAGATCCTCTGGTGTGTTTTGCAATCATGGAAACGCTGAGGTGATTGCAAACCTTCCCTGCTCATTTATTCTCAATTAGAGCCAGGAATTTTCCTTGCATGCAGTTTGAAACCCTGGGGTCAGGTGTCTGTGTGCAGGGAAGGGGATGCTGTGTCCTGCCCCGGGGGTGGATGCTCTCCCTGGAGAGCTCTCAGCCCTGCTTTGAGCAGGGAAATGTTTGGGATGCCAGGAGGGGAAAGGCACTCTCTGACCACATCTGAGGGGATGCACAAACACACAGAATGTCAGAGTTCCTCACTTGTTGTCTTGCTTTTCCACGGTCAGAAAACAAGCACGTGTTTCCACCTTCCTTTACAAAATACCTTGTTGTTTCCTGAGTGTCCAGATTTGTCCTTAATTCCCAAATACACTCCTGGAAATTATTAAACACAGCCCTTTCTTGCTTCTGTGGCTGCACAGCTCTGCTACTACAGCAGGAGGGTCACTGTTCACTGCCAACACACACCTGATCAGGGACCATCAGAGGAACCCACATCCCATCTCAGGGATTTAAGAGGTTCTTCATGGGGTGCCTTTTCAATGCCCAGTATTTCTTGAGGTCCTGAAGAAATGGACAACAGAAGAATTGAACACAAACTTAAGCAGAAGCCATCAAAAATGTGCCCTGCACAGCAGGGTGGGGAAGGATGAGGGGATTTGTGGGGCCATATCCTGTAACGTGCCACTATCTGTGGTTGCAGTCTCTGTGATTATCAGGGATGAGGTTTTGATGCAAGACCTACATTTCTACAACCCTCTCCTGAACCTGCAGTGCCCGTGGCAGTAGCAAGGCTGAGCCTTTCCCCCCCTGTGGGGACAAACAGCATCAGGAAACGTTCTGAAGTAGGAAGTGAGCTTGGATTACAGGGGAAGCTTTCCAAACGTGGTCAGAACCTTTGCCTCGGGCACCTCCACTTTGTTTCCATTCATTTTCCTTAATTTTAGTGGATGTTTCCCCCCTGGTAGTGATAAACCAGGTCTTTTTCTTCTGACAGTTGTTGCAACTCCGTTGCCATGACTACTTAACCCACTTTTTGTTCTCCGTGCCGGGGACGGGAAGGAAAGCACTCACCAAACTTTCCCCTCTGTGCACAAGAAACATTTTTCCCCGGGAATTTTGCCTTTTATGACCTGTTGGATGAAGGAGGGGACTTGGAACAGCTCCTTTCTCCTGGATGATGAGCTGCAGAGCGCTGAAGGGTTTGTTGATGAGGGCTGCTGAGACAGCAGGCAGGGTTTTCAAATCGCTGGTGCTCTTATTTAAAAGCACCTTCTTGAAGAGGTGTAAGTGCCTGTAAATTTTTAAGCACAGAGGAAAAGCAAGCACTGGATTCTTTTTGAAGATGCCACGGAAAAATACCACCGGCTCTGTGGGAGATTAAGCTGTTGGAGGGTGAGAGAGCACAGAAGGGAGGAAAACCCAAGGGGAGATGTTTGCATTTCATCAGCACTTTCTGTAAGAAGTCAGAGCAATCAGCATGGACAGGGGCTGGGGGAAGGATGTGGAGTTCTGCCTTCAAAAGAGAGGTAAAACCAATTCCCCAAAGTGGAAAAAAAAAAACTAAATCAGATTTTGGCCTCATATTCCAGTCATGAGGCTTTGGAGGCTTGTGAAGTTTAAGGCCAGAGATCACAGAATCACAGAGTGGTTTGGCTTGGAAGGAACCTTAAAGCTCATCTTGTTCCACCCCCTGCCATGGGCAGGGACACCTTCCCCTAGCCCAGGTTGTTCAGGACTCCATCCAACCTGGCCTTGGACACTTCCAAGGGATGGGGCAGCCTCAGCTTCCCTGGGCAACCTTGGTTAGCTGAAATCAGGCTGTAGGAGTTCACTTCCCAAACTCTGCCCTCCACCCCAGAGCCCCCTGCTCTAAACCCACCCCAAGCACAGTGTGGGCTCTCATTTCCCACTTTTCTGCCGCTGTGGTTTGATTTTTTCCACGTGAAAACGTCGTGAGCCAGAGCTGACAGGTAGTTTTGCTGCCTGCTCTCCCCTCTTCCATCTCCTATCCCTTCAGGAAGGCTCCAGTGGAGCAAAGGTGGCTTTGTGTGTGCGTGGGGAGGAAGGAGCTGAGCGTGTGGGGATGCTGAGGCAGGTCTGGCATTGCAGAAGGAGCCGTGGCCAGCACATGTTCACATGAGCCTGTGAGAGAGCCCAGGAATTCAGGCACGAGGGGCTCTCGCCTTCTGTTCAGGCTTTGCCTGCACCAGCTGCTCTGGAGGAGCATTTCTGGTTGATGGGGATGGCAGCAGGGAGGTGACACCAGCTGGGCTCCTCCTCGGAGTGCAATTCAGCTAAATTTGTGCCGTGAATGGAAAGGACAAAAGGTCGCATTTTAACCCAGGGAAGCTTGAGGGGAGAGATTTAACTTCCTCGGTTTGTCAGGGGTTTCTTTATTGCTCTGCTAACCTCGGTGGCAAGGAGCCAGAAGATTAACTACAAATAGGGAGAAAAAAAATAAAAAAAAACAAACAAAAAACTCACAACCCAAAACAAATGAAAACCAATAATGCAATCCTTATTATTACCACTGAACTCTGCAGAGGGTGAGGGGAGATATTCAGACGAGTTTGTTTGCTGCTGGATGATGCTTTTCAAGCCAGGTCACTGCTGTGTTGAGCATCTTCATATACTTTAGTCCCTGTTTTATCCTGGGGGCACAAAGGGGTGTTAAAAGGGAGAGCCCCCAGTTCTGAGTCAGAGATGAGGATCCTGGGGCTTTGGGGAGGGCTTAGGGGGGATTTTAAAAGGCTGGGGAAGGAGGGAGAGTGTCACAGGCAGGGTGACAATGCTTCAGAGGGGATGGAGGGGTTTGGGGGATGTAAATGGTTTGTTGTGTGAAGGAGATGATGGAATGGGATGTTCTCAGTGCAGAAGGTACTGTAAGCAGTTGAGGATGAAGTCTAATGCCCTTTCCCTCTCTCTGGTGCCCACAGTGTGCCAGATTCTCCCCAAAGGAGTGGTTGGAGTCCTGGGACCTTCCTCAAGCCCAGCTTCGAGCTCTATTATCAGCAATATCTGTGGGGAGAAGGAGGTAAGTGGAAAAAGTTCTTTTCTGGACTAATTTTATGCCCTCAAATTGACTTGGCCCCAGTGCCCTCGTGCCTGGTGGGCTGCCTAGGACTGGGAGGGAATGTGGGAGCCCTGTTCCTTCTTCCAAATCCCAACCAGAGCTCCTGGTATGACACAACTTCTTGCACAAACTTGGAAAGCTTTATTTTTATTTTTTTTTTAACAGTTTACTGCTGTTCCATCAATGCAAACCCTTTTAATCTGTGTCTGGACTAGGTGCTAGATTTAATATTTCCCAAGCCTTGAACCACCTTACGCTGCTCTGGCTCTGCCCAGGGGAAAAGAAATTGAGTTCTCCTCTCACAGTTCATCCCTTTAAAGCCAGATAACATCTCTCAGCCACTTAGTGGGCTCTCTCTGGAGCCCAGCCCCCGAGGAGGGGAGGCTGGAACTAAGCGCTGTAAATAATTCGCATTAACAAATGAGTGCTGTTCTGTTGTTCCCGGAGGATCAGAAGTGATGAGGGGATGGATCTTTCAGACCTAAAGCACTGGGGCTGCAGCGGGATGGGTCTCCTGGGGGGGTTTTGTAGTGCTTTCTCCCGTTAAACGTCCTGGACCTGTGCTCCATCCCAGGCAAGGCAAGCTCTGCAGTGCCACACTGCCAGTGTTTGCAGAGCTGGGATCTGTCTGCATTTCCTTTTCTCTGGAATCTGCAAATCTCAGGCTCATCCTGGCTCATCCCAGGATGCTGCCCTGACTGCTCTGCTTACAGGAATTCACCTTTCCTTCCCAGCCTGTCTCCCTGCTCACACAGCCCGGGGTGAGGGCTGCAGACTCAAATCAAGGCAGATAGCAGCTTATTACTCTTTTAACTTTCCTTTTGCTAAGCAAACAGCTTACGCTGTCAATAAAACAGCCATCACAAGCTGCTAATAGGCTTTCCCAAGAGGAGAGAGGTGGGAGGCATAGGCTGATAGCTTCAGGAAGGGCTAATAATGAAGGAAAAGTCGACTTGACACTCTGCTAACGAAGCCTTAGCAGATGTTTCCCTTTCTCTGACTCCTATTTCTTGCAAATAATTCACTCAGCAAAAGGAAAACAATATTCCCTCTCCTTATTTGGGTGAACCCCCCAGTGCCTGAGCTTGATCTGTCTGTCTGCCCACCCATCCCCTCTGCAGGAATCTGCAAGCTCCCCCCCCTCCCCAAATTCCTGGGGGCAGGAGCATCCCCCTCCCTCCCCCCCGTTCTGCTGTGTTAATGACAAATGCAGCATTATCTGTGCTGCTGGTTCCAGTCCCTTGGAGCTTGCCCGTGGTGTGGCCTCGCTGCTGATCAAAAATGCCCAAACCTTCTGGCTGCTGCATCTGTTGCCCCCTCTCCCGAGCCCTGCCAGCACGGGGTCAGCCTGTTCTGCCCTTCATCTCCCCTAATTGCCTGATGACACATCAGTTCAGCGGGCAGAGGTGGATCTGCAGCTCGCAGCAAAGGGCTGGGGGCTCCCAGTGCCCGCATCCCAGTGTATCCCTGCAGAGCCTCCTCCCTGTTTACCCAGCCCGGCTACAATTAGTGCCCCAGCTAATTAGGTTGAACTCATCCGGAAGGTTTCCTGGGCTGTAATCACAGACCCTGTTGCCTTTCTCTGAGTGGCTCAGCAAGACTTTTCCTGATCCACTTCTTCCCGTGGCTTCTCGTGGCTGTGATAATTATTTTCCTCTGCTGCTGCACGAATCCCACCCTCCTCTCTTTGACTCCAGCGATGCTTATTCAGTTTTATTGGGATGTTTCACTCCCTGCCTGCTGTGCATTTCACACCAAAGGCCCTTTACCGCAGATTTACTTGTTTTTATTTCTCTTCCCTCTTTAATTATGTTTTCTTTCCTCTCCCCTCCCCTCTCAGGTTCCTCACTTCAAAGTGGCACCCGAGGAGTTCCTGAAGCTGCAGCTCCAGCGCTTCACCACCCTCAACCTCCACCCCAGCAACACCGACATCAGCGTGGCCGTGGCAGGGATCCTGAATTTCTTTAACTGCACCACTGCCTGCCTCATCTGTGCCAAAGCTGAATGTGAGTCCTTTGCCAGGCTGGCTTGGGCTGCCCCCACTCTGTTCCACCTCCCTGTCTGTGTTTGGTGCTCGCTGGAGAAGGTCCCACCAGCAGCGTGTGGGACCTCCCTGTTGCATCCCAGATCTCCACCTCTCGTGCTGGCACATCCTTTTCCCCCCTCCAGGGCAGGTTCTCCACACTGTTGCCCCCGTGGAGGTGTTTGTGAGAGGAGGAAAGGGGATGGGGAAGAGACTTGCCTGCCTTCTGTTTGACAATCTGAAGAGTGTTTTGCTTCCACAGATGGGGGTTTGAATTTTTTTTTTTTTTTTTAAAAAAGGCTTAGGCTTGTTTCTGGAGATTATTTTAGGCAAGTGAAGCTTTTTGAAATATGTCTTTCCCAAACCCACGTGCAGCTTGTGGCCTAAAAGCGGGGTTTGATTAATAGACAATACACTGCACACCCTCTTGGGCTCTGCAGCCCTAAATCTGCTGCTCATGGTGCACGTGGATGCTGGAGCTGTCACCTCAGCAGGACCATGGTCACCTCTGCAGAGCTCCTCAAGTGGGTCCTGTGCTGTTGGAGGTCACTGGGCAGGAAGGAGATGCTGTGTAGCAGCCACAGCAGTTCTGCTTTTATTACCCTGTTCATCAGCACTGGGGTTTATCACACAAACCAGCCTGGAAGAGGGGCTTTGGAAAGGCACCAGGGAGAGCTCTGGGGATCCTGTTCTCTGTGTGAGGGAAAGGCAGCACCATTCCCAGCCAGCCCTGGACAAACTTCACACCACCAGCTGTGCCAGTAATGCATTGCTGTGGGAACTCCTGCATGGGGACAGGAGCAACAGGAGTGTCTCTGCCTTCCTTTTCTGCCTCATGTGCCCTGAGGAGAGCAGATACTGAGCTGATGTAAGTCAGTAAATTACCTTCTGTAAACGTGCTCAGATTTACCCCGGGAAAGGACCCGACTCAAAATGATGCAATTAAAATCATGCAAATGCTCTCCTGCATTACTTCCAGGGCTGGAATTTTTCATTGTCTACCTTAACCTTAAGCAGAAGGGGGAAGGAAAGATAATTAGGTTTTCTCACCTGCCGTGCAGGAGGCTCAGAGCCCTGTCCCCCCACACTGCTGCCAGGCACAGAGCACACATCCACCCCTGCCCTCCTCCCAACTCTGTGCCAAAACACGCAGGTCCCTCCTGTTGGTATTAACATGATTAACAGGATTCTTCATTTAACTGGATCAAAACCAATAACACCCTTTTACTTGAAGCAATCTAATTAATTTTACTACTGGATAACTCAATATTCAGGATGTGCTGCAGAGCCTGAGTCCTTCCCAGGCCCTGGGAAGCAGTGGGATGGGTGCCTTTTGTGGATCCTGCTCTTCTTTTGTGCTCAGGAAGGGCCTGATGGGAGCTGGGCTTGGAGCACATAATCAAGCCTCATGTAGGAGCATAAACCCTCATTTTCCCTTAGGACACGCACTGCTCCTGAGCACAGTCCTTAAACAACTAACTCCAGGCATTTCAGGCTTTTGGGAGGTTCCCTTGAGGCAGCTCAGGGGAGCCTACGAGCTGTGTGCGCTCATCAGTGAGGAAATGCTGTTTTGAGGGATGATTTTATTTGGGTCCCAGGAGGGAGAAGTTGTAGCTGTTTTGGTTTTAAGTGCAAGGCTATGTGTGATGGGGCTCCTGGGTCCTCCCCTGTCACCCTCGTGCTGTCACTGCAGGGAGTCACATCCTTCCTCTGGGGACTGAGTGCAGTTTGCCTTGGCTGAAGCAGAAAATGACCCTCAAGGTCAATGAATTTAGTAGTGCCATGGTGAATAGAATATGATGTGACTCAGTTTGGTGGATAGAATTGAAGGAGGGCTTAGGTAAAATTTGCTGTTTGTGTGGGCCAGCACACACACAAAAAAAGGGATTCAGGTGAGGTCTGCTCCACGTGCCCTTCATGCAGAGTGAGTTTGCTGGCCAGTGAGAGAGAAAAAGAAGCTGATGTGACCCAGAGAAATTCCTGGCTGTTCTTTTAGTCCTTTGCTGAGTTCCCACCTGTACCCAGAGAAAAGCATCGTGAGGGGCTCAGAGCAAACTCAACGTGCTGAGAAAGCCTCCCTGTGAATGAGAGGCTCCTGGTCTTGGATGTGTGCCTTTTGCTGCACTGCTTTGTTGCCTTTGTGAAGCTCTGGGAGTCCTTGGAAGCAGAGCTCTAACACTAATCACATCCTCTTGTGCCACTTCCCTGGCCCTTGACCTGCTGGTGAACGAGTGGGTTTGTGCACTCAGAGGGAAGGGAGGTTAAGAGCAGAGCCCTGACTTGAGGATGGGTTTGCCTCTCTGCCAGCTGGGATGTGATGCTGCTGATAGTCCTGTTCTTTTCAGCTTCCTTCAGTTCAGTTCCCTCTCCTCCTTTATGGATTTCTGTTGGGCTGGGATGTGTGGCTGTGCCTGCTGTCTGTGATTGCATCTGGTGGTCCCTCTGGTCAATCAAACTTGACAGGAGGTTATTTCTTGATGAAACTCAGCAGCTGGGTGGAAGAGACAGGCTCTATCAAATATGCTGTCTTGAGGAAGAAAAGCTGCAGCAGGAGCTTTGACATCTTATTAGACTTCAAGGCAGCTGGGTTGGAAGGAGCCCTTGCAGTGACCCAGCTGCAGGGGGAAACTTCAGTCAGAAGTGCCAAAAGGGCGATAGAGAATGAGCCCAGGGAAGTCAGGACTCATCCAGGGGGGTGTTCACTAATGCTTTGTGTCTCCAGCTTCCACCTGAAGGCAGAGCCCAGTCCTGCAGGCCAGGTGGCCCTTTTCCATGCCCCCTTCCAGCTTTCCATCCCCTTGGAAGACAGCAGCTTCCCAGCAGAGTGCTCCAAGATCTCCCAAGTGTATCAAGCTGTGCCTTGCAGGGCACTCCGTCTGGGAGCTGGAGATGGTTGAGGAGGAGGAATAATCTTCCAATAAGCAGAACAATCCCACATACAGGGAGATGGTGAAAAAGGTTCTCTGGACTCTGGGGTCCTGAGAAAATTTGTGTCAACAATCTTATCTGTTCTCAAGAGGACTTTGGGGCCACTATTTCAGTGAGTCCCAAATCCTTGCCCAGAACTGAAGGGCTGCATCCTACTGGGAATGGCTGTGGGCCATGGGAGGGGAGCAATCAGAGCCAAGCATAACGTTTAAAGGCTTTTCTCCCTTTCATTTGAAGGCCTTTTAAACCTGGAGAAGTTGCTCCGGCAGTTCCTCATTTCCAAGGACACCCTCTCGGTGCGGATGCTGGATGACAGCCGGGATCCCACCCCTCTCCTGAAGGAGATCAGGGATGACAAGACAGCCACAATCATTGTCCATGCCAACGCTTCCATGTCCCACACCATCCTGCAGAAGGTGAGTGTCCCTTCCCTGTCCCAGCTCTGGGTGCTGCTGCTCCCCCCCTCCCCCCAAGCCAGGTCCCACGTGTTGCAGGATAATGGAGTGGGGAAATCCCTGGAAATGGGCTCTGCTGAGAGGGGAATTGCCACTGTGATGGAGTTTTATGGGGAAAATAATTTGCTCTCTCTTTCCAGGACTCTTTATCTGTGGAAGTGATGCTTTAATTGCTCTGAGCCGATGTGTTTGCTCTCTCCAAGTGGTGTGTGCTGGTGGCTCCTGTTGCCATCAAACAGCTCAGCCCTCTGAAATTAGTCCATCAGCGCACTGGTGTCTCATTTTTTCCCCCTCCCATTAAGTTTCTAACTTTTTGCTGCCTTTTTTTTTTTTTTTTTTTTTTTTTTTTTTTTTTTTTTTTTTTTTTTTTTTTTTTTTTTTTTTTTTTTTTTTTTTTTTTTTTTTTTTTTAAATTGTCTTATTAACCGTGTTTATTTTTAAATGGTCTCTCGCCGCGGTTTTTAGAGCTTGTTTTGATAGCCTGCCTCAAAACTGAGCAGTGGCTCCAGATGGAGTCTGAAGCTGGGGAGAATTTCCCTCATCCTGGGAGGTACAAGAAGCACGTTCCTGAGTGGAGGCAGGATCCAAGCCGTGGGATCCCCTTGGCTGT